GCTGGGAGGATAGGAACAGCCTTCCCAGAAAAAGGAGGAAGCTAGTGGCTTTGTACAGAGGAGAGAAGGAGAAGTATCTTGTTGACCCTGCCTGCTAGAAATTTGGCAAGTCAGGGAACAAGCTGGGATAACACTCTGGGCATGTTTTTTTTTTTTCTTGTGGCATATTCAGCTCTTGGCCTTGCACTCAAACCTGGCCTGACTGGCCTCAAACCTGACTTCCTTCCATGTCTCTGCAGCCTACTTGCCTGAGTCCAGCCTTACCATGTGGTGAAGGGAAGGATGCATCTCCTGGCACAGGCTGCATGTGCAGCGCTCTGCAAGTGGAGGTGACACACCTCCGAGGCCTGGTTTTACAGTGTCTGGATGATCAGAAGAAGCTGCAGCAAGAAACCATTCGTCTGAGTGCCCAGCTCCAGCGGTTCTGCAGGAGGATGGAGGAAATGCAGCAGGTGAGAATCCATCATCTGGGTGCACTTCTGTGCTCAGGGCTCACCATGCTCCTGCAGATTGTGGAGGCTGTGCAGAAGAAAGCAGCTCTTAACAGCCACCTCTGTCAGAACAGAATTTGGTGGACTAAGAAGGATGCCTGTTTCTTGTACAAGCTGCTGATGCAGGCTCTGATAGTAGCAAAATAGGAATGAAGCCAAAAGAGTTTCCTCTGAGGACGGCCCACTCTTTGAGGGACCTGGGATTTCCCTTTCTTTCTCTTGAGATGAGAAGGGATGGGCAGTCATGTTGCAAAGAGTAACAACAAATGGCTGTGGAGAACACGGAGGCTGTGGGCCTTGTGCAGCTTCTAGCTCTTGTGCAGCTAGTCCTGGCACTGTTTGGGTAACTGCTGTGTGTTCTGACAGGTGAAGGTTCATTCCAAAGGAACACAGACAACCAAAGAGGAGATGGAAGTGGATCCGAAACCTGACGTGGATTCAGATTCCTGGTGTCTCCTGGGAACGGACTCGTGCCGCTCCAACCTCTAGTCTCCTGAGCCCACTGGGATCCATCTAACTTCACAGCACACTAACCGAATGCAGAGAGCGGCTTTTCTGGCGTCAGGTCACTCGCGGACAAGGAGCGAGGCCGGAGGCTCCAGAGCAGCACCCATGTACGTTTGATATGAACTAGGAGTGAGTTTGAGAGGGGGAGGGCCCTTGAGCTCTAGGCCAGCTCAGTGATTGAAGCAGCAGCAGCTCCTCTTTGTACTTTATCTGTCAGTTCTGCACTGAGGCAGAACGGCCCCATTATGGCGATGGCTTGTGGCCCTTTCATTGTTTCACTGTTTCCTGGGAGCTGCCTTTGGGACCCCAGTATTCATCACTGCATCTCTAGACGAGAGGAGGAAACATGTTCTGTACTGAAGCTGGCTGAACCCTAAGACTTCAGAGGGGTGAAGGACTAGGATCCTCTCCTTAGCACGTGGTAAGGCCCCGCCGGTGAGGCTGCTTCCCTCTGCTCAGGCGCAGGGGGACTAGTGAATGTATCATTCTGGAGGCAGTGGAGATGCTCCTCTTAGGGAGATCATAGTAGACAGCATGTCCCTGGCCTCGAGGCACAGCTTCTGGCCATATGGCTGCGTCCACTGGGCTGTGTAGACAGAGTTTGAAGGCTTTATTCTGGGTGCCAAGGGCTTTCCAACTTCCAGGCAATGCACCAAGATGAGTGAATCAGGTGTTTCCCGTTGCAGTAGTGGGGACTGTCTGAGATTGGATCTGTAGTTCTTGGTTTCAGACCATCTGTCTCCCAACCAGATGACAAGCATCTGGGCCTCAGACTAAACTACCCATTTCTTACTCCAGCTGTTCAACTTGGTTTGGGTGCCAGAGTTTCTGGTTTCTTGGCATAAGCCTGTAGCTGCTCCCTGCTTGGCTTCTCTTCTGCTCAGTCCCTGTGCCTACACTCTGTGTGGGTGTGGGAAAAATCCGTGTTTTTCCACTCAGTGTTCTGATGAAGCTGGAATGCCATTTCCTACCCAGAATAGGTCATTACTGCTGTGGTCTCAGGATGTAGCCTTCCCCAAAGACTGAATGATCAAATCTCAGTCCGGAATTCACCTTCTTTCAAGAAGTGAGAAGCTTTCCCAAGAAAATTGGAGATGGGAAGAGGCATGGTCTGATGCTCAAGATTTATTCATTTCCTATTAGAGAATGAGGTTAATTTTATTCCCCTTAAATTTATTAGCAAACTGACTTTGAAGTAAAGCTTATGGGATTGGTAGGATCCCTGGGAGCAGCTAGCCTCCCCTGTCTTACTTGGCGTCTCCAAGGAGTCCTAAGTTCCTCTCACCTTTGCTGTGAGAGTGGGATTGTAATTTCATCAGGTTTAAATGATCCCCATCAATGTCATATTACTAGAATTGCCTTAGGTCTACTGGAGGTGAATATCATACCACCTCTGACAGACTTCTTTTGAGAGACTGTTCTGGGGAATCCAGCATTCCCCATTTGTCTCTAGAAGCGGATGCCAAACCATTTGCTCGTAACATAATGCTCCTTAAATACTTCTTTGGTGCCTATTGCTAGTATCTGGGAGCTGAATCAAGTGCTGTCTTCCCAATGCAGTGTCCAGGGTAAGAATTGTTCCAGTGTGCCTGTCCATTGCTACCAGAAGCAGGGCAGGAGGAGAGACCTCCTGGGAGGCGGTGAGAATCAGGTGCCCTGGTACAGCCAGGCTTGTTTGCCCTTGTGACTCTGCTCTCCTTTCCCCCACGTGCGTTGGAGCCAGTTCTCAGGTCAGGGTCCCGGCTTGAGGGTCGTTGGTCACATGCAGCAGTGCCTTTGAGGACTGAAAAGTCGAGCCTGAGCCATGTTTAATAAGCAAGCACCAAGCTGATGAGAGTCGCTCTCCTGCAGTGCACTGCTATCCTCATTTCTCAATGCTCTGCAGTTGGGAAGCTAGGTGCACAGACTGGATTCCCCTTGGATCTAGTGGAGGATGAGGGTTCCTGACAGAGGATGCCCTGTGCTCCACAATCTCATATGTGCCTTAGAGGATTCACGCTATCCAGGTTGTGCCTGTTACAGACCACAGATTTCACACCAGCCAGCTATGCAACAAAAAAAGCAGTTTAAAGGTAGCACCTTTGTCTTGGGCTGAAAACGGAAAGACAGGCAGGCAGAAGTGCCTTCGAGCAGTTTCAAACCCTTTTTACTTCTCCCCTTCTTGCAGTGCTAGCTCCATATGTGTTGGTCTCCTGCTAGTATTGCTACTGAGTTGTAGTGGATCACAACTTATGCCTGCTCTGACACTCTGGCTGAAAACTAGTTTGTCGTTGTCTTTCTTTGAAAGGTTAAAGGGTGGAGTGGTTTGGAATTTCTGTTTAAATAAATGTTTAAACTCATACTCCTGTGTTTGAACTCCTTTTCTTGTCTTTATTTTGCCAAGAGAGGAAAGGGAAATATGCATACAGTCATCTGTTTTTTGGCATTCTGGTTTTGATTATTTTCTTTTGCTTATAGAAAGAGGGTGAAAGGGCTTTTAGATTCTTTGCTCTGGTTTAAAACAAAGTCAGTTTCTGTGTCCCTTAATTAAAAGAAACCAACAACAACCAAACAAAAACCCCATTCTTTTCTCATACTGTTACGTCTCCTCCTAGTGACGTCAGGAGCTTGTGTGTGTGTGTGTTTATTTCCACAGTCTGAGTGCCAAGTGGGGAAATGAGTAACGGGAAGAGAGGCTTAAAGGGAAGAAGTACCTGTTTTTCTCAGAATATCTTCATTGATCATTGAGGCCTACAGAAGGGAGAACCTGCCTGACACCACCTGCTCAGCCAACTTTCCTGCACACTGTACTTAAAAGCCTGTCACTTTTATCAGAAATTTTATTAAATTGTGAAATATCTTGACAGGCAGAGGAGAGTTAAAGATTTAAAATTCACTAGAGATTTGGATGCTGAAAATGCAGCATGTCTCTGAGAGGGGGATTGTACTGCAGGAGCAAAAGGAAGCTGAGCTGTCATGAATAACACAGCTTGAGTAGTGACAGGGTAACTAACCCTGATAGCAAAGCAGCACCCTAAATCTCTGTGCTGACCCAGATACTTCGTCTGACATGTTACTAAGTTTTAAACCAGTTATCAGGCACTCTGGATACTGAAACAATAGCAAACAGGGGTGAACTGCCTACCTTGGCTCCAAAACAGGTAACAATGAAGTCTGGTGATTTAATTTTAATAACTTTTATTTAATCTACAGTTTCAATCTTTTCAATCTCAGTGTTAGCCATTTGCCTGTCAGTTATGAGAAGTCCCCAACACATGAGTTTATTTTACAGCATCAAATGCTTTTTAGTGTGTATCCATGTGTCACTATTTACACTGCTGACCTTTAGGGTCCACTAAATATAGTCAATAAAATGTAGTGCAAGGGAAACAGAGTTAATATTAGAAGACAGGCAGTGGTGCTGAATTTTTTAACTAGTGTGTTCAAATCACTTGTTCCTTTCATGAATTCAAGGAGGCTGGCATAAAGGTTTCAATTTACCCCTTTCCTACCTCTTGCTATCCTGGTTTTCAAAACCCTCAAGTTAAAGCATTGGTCTTGCTTCTCCAATCAGTTTGGATACAGTAAATTATTTTCCCTTCTTTTGAGTCTGCTTTTTCTCTCAGGTTTGTACACCCATCATTGGCTGGCACAGTGCAGCAATGATCCTTTCTTGGACCTTCATGCTTTTCCAGGATGTTTTGCCAAGGGACTGAGACTTCTGCTCATGTATCTATAGAACAGAAGCTCTCCAACCTCTTTCACGAGTCAGGTTCGCTCATTGAAGGCTGGAGTATTTTTTCATATTCAGCTTCTGACTATTCCAGTTTAATCTAGTTGCTTTAGATCTTTCTCTAGGTTCCCATGAGCTGCTGCTATTGCTACAAGAGGACTTGCAAAAGGAGCTTCTGGAACTTTTGTATTCCTTGTTCGCTTGTTGCAACTTTCTCATACAAAGTAGTCATTCTTACTGTGAGAACACAGAACTCTGTGACCATTTAAAATAACTTTTACACAAGAGCACTAGTTTAATACATTTAATAATCACAATCTAGAAAAATAACATGTCAAGAAGAAAACAAAAGAAGGGATATGTTTTTGTAATAATTCCCTCCCATTGCAGGAACCAAGATGAAATAAGCAGATGACTTAAGAAAGGGTGAAAACTTTGCTTTTAGAGGTTCCTAGCAACTTGGCCTGCAGGAAGAAAACTCCATTTTTTAAAATACTAAATCTGATTGTGATGGTTGTGCTGTTGCCTCAAGGGCCTGGCTGATTCAGAGTATCCTTGTTCTATGCACATGAATTGATGTGAAGATCCAAACAGTAAGTGCCTGCTATTGCTAGCTTTTCTAACCCCTGGAATTTCTGATCCTGAGCTTCTTATGCTGAGGAAAGCAGCATCTTTTGTTGGGCAACCTAGGGTGCAGGTCAAAGTATACAAGCTCTGTTTTTCAGCTGATTAGTCCTGAGCTGTTCACTTGCTGTACATAGAAGCTTGCAGCCAGTGTCGAGACTATAGAAAACACAAATGTCTATAACTGTGAGTCTGGCAAAAACCAGGCAGGGAATCACAGCAGCAGATACAGCTGGGCTCGGCCTCATCAGCGCCTCCTCTGTGGTGGAGGTGGGGGCCTGTTCCTGATGTTTTTGCATTTGGGAATATGCCTCTCAGCTACTCGGGGAGCAAACTTGCGTCCACAGTAGGTGCAGGCAACATAGTCTGGATTTTCGACGGGAGGCAGTGGGGGCAGGCCAGACACCTTCCTCCCCTTAGCGAGGATTTGCTCCGCCTGGCGGGCCTGTGCCATGATGTGGATGAGAGCCTCGTGCTTCTGTTTCCAGTTGCTCTTTCTGGGCGGTGTTTTACTCTGCGGAAGGGAAAGGCAGTCAGGGCAACTGGGACCACCATCAGCCTCCATTCTCAAACTTACACTCAGAGCCCAACCCATGTCTCCTGTCCCTGTGCATTCCCTGGTGATGTAAAACCCAGCCTGAGAGGCTGAGTCCCACAAAGGGAATCAGAAAGACCAGCACAAAGGAGGATGTAAAGGAAATACTGATGGAAACATCAGTATTTAGAAAGAGCTTGAGGATAACCAGAAAAGCAAGCAGTAGGGCCAAGGAACTAAGGAGGGTTGCTACATCTCCTTTGCAGGAACAGAGCTGCATGTTTCCACTGCCTTTATTTTAACAGACTCTGCTATTATCTGGATTTTCAGTCAGCTCCCTGCAGCCCTTGATGTCACAGAGTTTTACTGCAGCAGAACCAGTCTGCATCCTAACTACGGCAAGGAACTGAGCTTTCTCCAGTAGTGCACCCTTAACAGATTATAAAGCCAAGTCAGGACTCCTGCCTCCATCTATGAGATTTTAAATGGATCTATTTATCCATTTGGCAAGAACCTTTCAGAGGCAATAGCTGTATTGTATCCCTTGGCCCCATGTACGTGGGAAGGTGCTTGCATCTCAGTCAGAGGTTGAAGTGGAAGGAGTGTGAACAGTAGATGTGGATCCAGGGAGGCAAAGGGACTGCACATTACCTGAGGAGTCCTTGAGCTCTTCTGCTGCTGATACTGTTCCAGTTCTGTTCCCCTAGCCCTGGCCTTGCTAGAGTCGAACACTTTCCTCTTGGAGTCTTGGTTCTTGCTACAGATACTCATGTGTTTCTCAAGCCTTGTGCAGAGAAACTTACGACTGCAGAAGCTGCACTGTCCAAAGCCCTCCTGCTCCACAGCACCAGCAGCCTCCATGTGTGGCAGCTCTGCAGAAGGGTGGTCATCAGAATCTTGGTCTGAGAGGGCAGAGAGAGAAAGGCTCTGCTTTGGGACCAGTTTTGAACCAGAAGCTAAATGCTCCATGGGTATGTTGTCTTGTGTTTTGCTGTTTGTTTTGTTGTGTTTTGCGGCCACCAGCCACTCCTTGAGTTTCCCCACAGCCAGCTCTTGGGGATGGGGAGTGGTGCCAGACTTGGGAATGGTGTCCTCTGCAGACTGTGCCCTGCTGAAGATCCCAACACCTGGCGTGTCTGCAGCTCTGAAAGTTTTCCCTTCAAGGTGCCTTGTGGCCTTTTGCTCGTATGTCCTCTCCACTTCACTTTTCTCCCCTACTTTGATAAGCTCCTTCTCTCTTTGAATCCTCCTGAGTGTCTCCTCTGTCCTCTTTAGCTTCTCTCCAAGAAGGGCCTTTTTCTTTTGAATTGCCTCTTCTAGGTTCCTTCTATCTGCCTCCAGCTTTAGGATGTAGGCCAGCTCTCTCCTGTGTAGATGGGCAGCTGATGGTTCAGGCTCTCGTGTCCAAGGGCAGAGCACCGCAGCTAACTGAGATCTCCCTGCTAGAGCCATCTCTTTGCTTATTGAGCTCGATCTACTATTTGGAGCTTCCTGCACGTGGGGGGAACTTCCAGTGCTGAGCAGTGGATCTCTTGCACTCTTGTGGTGAGAAATTGGTTGCAGGGGATATGCACGGTCCACTCCTTCTTTATGTCTGCCTAATGATTTAGCTGACAGAGTACAGGTCTGGCTGATGAGATACTTGCTCTCTAGTCCACCTGACCAGAAGCCTCCATGCCTGGGCTTGTCCTGAGTGCTTTCTGCAGACATAGAATAAGAATATCTTTGGTTCTTTTGTGCATAGAGATCTTTTAAACTTTCCTCTTTGTCAATTATGACTCCATGCTGAAAGTTGTCCTTCTGGTATTTCAGCTGGGAACCAGGAGAAAACTTAGTAGCTGCCACCACAGGAGCCACCGGTGGAAAAAAATCCATTCAGTGCCTGAGAAAGAGCCTGAGGTTAGAAGCAAAGCCATTACAAACAATTTTATCCAAACGGGACAAATCTTCTCCTAACAGTTTATGCATGGACGCTGCAGACAGAGGTTATAATAAGTATTAGTAAAGGTTTGGTAGCTTTTCTGCTTTCTATATATCTTTACATTCCTTTTATCTAGGGAGCTTCCATGCTGCCTCTTCTTGTCCCAACTGTTTATGTAGCCAGAAATAAGACACACTTATCTCTCTTTCTGGCTGAGCCCTGCCTTACCATGGTAGCAGCGGAAATATACTGCAATGACAGAGGAATTGTATAGTCCCCAGGCAGTTTCCCATAACGTGTCCCTTCAGTTCTGGCAATGTGATTCACCACTCTGTCACACACATCTGACATGCAGGAGTCCCACCAAGCTCGGCACAATCTTCCTGTGGCTCGTTCCACCACATCCCCCGTGGTGTGTCGGGTGCTCACGCCGCGGGGCGAGCGGGGTTACCTGCGGGGCCGCGCCCGGCGCTCCGCCGGCCTCCCTCCTCGGCAAGCTGCGTCTCCACACGCTGCGCTTACGGCCCGAGAGACCCGACCCTGCTGCCGCTGCCCGGGGCCGCGGCGCGGAGCTCTGCCCGCCCAGAGGCTGTCTCCGCCGCGCCGTCCGGGCGCTGCTGGCGGCTGTTGCCGGGAGACCGGCGCCGCTCCGGCCGGCGCGCGCCCCTGGATCGCTCCCGGCCGCGCGGCCGTTCCACCGCGGCACGAGCGCGGCGCCCGTGGGCGGCCCTGATGCATTATTCATGAGGCGGTCCGAGATGTATTATTCGTGAGGCGGTGGGGTGTGCATTATTCGTGAGGCGGTGGGGTGTGCATTATTCGTGAGGGGTCGGGTGTGCATTATTCATGAGGCGGGGGGGTGTGCATTATTCGTGAGGCGGCGAATGAGGGACCGACCCCGCTGCGGCTCTTCATTGGCCGCGGGAGGCAGGCCACGCCCCCAGGCGCAGCGGGGCGCGCGGCGGCCGCAGCGGGCGGAGGAGCGGGAGGCGGTGCCGCCATGGCGGACGGCGAGGGCTTGGTGTCCGTGGACTACGAGGTGTACGGCAAGGTGCAAGGCGTGTTCTTCCGCAAGTACACCCAGGTGCGTGCCGCGGTCGAGCCGGGCGGGCAGGGCCGTGCCGCGGCCGGGGGCTGGGCTCCGGCTGCTGCCGCTGCCGCTGAAGGGGGCCGGCATCGCCGTGCTGCTGGCAGCCCGGGCAGGTTATGTAAGCATGACTGAAGAGAGAGTTTCAGCCCCAGCTTGTCGTGTGAAAGAATATTGAGTAGTCGAGTGAATGCTCTGCTGCTTTCCCGTTGCCCTGAGCCACAGGGGGCTGAAGATCCCAACTTCCTTGGGGGGCTGTGTCTTGCCAGCAAAATTGGCTCCTCTATGTGAATATTGTTCTGTTGCTCTCTTACAGTTTGGATTAACCTCATTTTGCTCTGCATTGTTTTCTCAGGGAGAGGCTAAGAGACTGGGGCTTGTTGGCTGGGTCCAAAACACCAGCCACGGCACTGTTCAAGGGCAAATCCAGGGTCCAGCTGCCAGGGTGCAGGAGCTGCAGGAATGGCTCAGGAAGATAGGAAGTCCCCAGTCCCGTATCAGCCGAGCAGAGTTCAGCAACGAGAAGAAGATCGAGGCGCTGGAGCACAAGGAATTCCAGATTTTGAGGTGACTTTGTCCTGGAAGAAGCAGTCTGGAGCATGAGCTGCCCTCACGGAACATTGCCTCTCTTCCTCACTCATTCAGTCAGCCAGTGTTCCGCTCTAGAGAACTTTATTTTATTAGATTTCTAATTTATTGTTTTGTTAGTTTGATGCTCAGCTTTTCACAGAATTCCAGCGGATAGAGGAAGAGCTATGTTGTCTCTGTTAAAGGGGCTGTTCAGGGCCAGAACCTCTGTTTACAAGTGTATGTGGTTTTGGGAATTGTACATAAGTCTGAAACTGGTGGTGTGTGGATGTGAAGGAAATCACAGGGTCAATGCTGCTAGAAAACATCATTAAAAACACTATTTCTGTGCACTAAATGTCTCAGAAACAATTTATTTTATCCCAGAACTTCATATTTTCTGTAGAGTAAAATTGCTTGGATTTCGCCTCCTGTGTGGAATGGATGTCGGATGGAGGGGCTGAGTGGATGACGGCCTCGGAGCGGGATCTTGTTGCCAAAGCTGCCCCTGTCCCTCCCCGCTCGGTGCCGCTGTGCGGGATGGCCGGGGGGAGCCGTGCTTCCCGCAGCCGGGCCGAGCTCCCGCCTTTCCCGGCCTCTGGGCCCCGTCGGGTGGGAACTACAACTCCCGGCGTGCTCTTAGCCGGGCCCCGCCCGCTCGCGGCTGCGCGCCGCGGCCGTTGCGGTGCCGGCCCGGCCCGGTGCGGTGCGGTGCGCGCTGAGGGGCCCGGGGCGCGCTGAGGGGCCCGGGGCGGCCGGGAAGGGGAAGCAGAGAGCGCTCCGGCTGTGAGGGGAGGGCACGGACAGCGTGTGGTGGGTCCGCGCTGCCCTCCTCAGCCCCGGCGCCAGGGAGCCTCGCGCGACCTGTCACAGCGGCGGCACCGGATCCTCGGGCACGGCTAGCAGGCCCCTTGAATGCCGCTAGGAAACCAGTGAGCGCCAAGGACTTGAAAACAGTGGGTTCTCTTTCGCATAAACAGCTTGCTCTTTGTGCCTGACACCCATTGCCAAGCCTGCTTTTCTCCTTTCCTGGATATGTAGCAGCAGATGCTGTTTGACCAGGACTGTCAATTTTTTGTGGGGATGTAAAAACAGGAGAAAAGCAGCTCTCTGCCCGGTTCTTGGTGATATTTACTCTATAATTCTGATGAAAATTGCAAAATTGAAAAAAACCTGTGGTTTGCAGGTCCTTTGAGTTTTGCCTCACACGGTAGGAGTGTGATTTGGATATGCTAAGTTTGAGAACACAGCGTGTTGTTAGTAAGGAGCTGAGGCTCAGGATCTGGCCATCTACCCCGAAGGCACTGACAATGTGTAGTCAGAGCATGAGCATGAAAGTAATCACAGAAAAAGCCTCTGAATGCCAAGAAGGCTAAGAAAAGTGTATTTATGAGGGCGAATGAAAGAAATCAAAAGTCTTTTCATGTCTTTAATTTGTATTTATTTAATTTTTCCCCCCTTGTCTCTCTGTGTTTTAAGGGACATGGAGCAGTGAGCTCCCTGCAGTTTCTGGTGGTTCTCATCTGTCAGATTTTGACATGATCAAACGTTTGGTGGAAGATGTGCGAGCCAGGCTGCGTTCCGGAGTCACTGTCAGCTCACTCGGACACTGTGTCGAGGAGCTTGTCCTCAACAGCATCGATGCCAAAGCAACATGTGTAGCTGTCAGGGTGGATTTGGAAGCTTTTAAGATCCAGGTGGTGGACAATGGCTCTGGGATGGGGAAGGAGGACCTAAAGGCTGTTGGAAAGCGCTACTTCACCAGCAAGTGCAGCTCCGTGAGAGACTTGGAGAACCTGACTTTCTATGGCTTCAGAGGAGAGGCTTTGGCAAGTATAGTCAACATGGCCAGTGTAGTGGAAATCTCATCTAAGACCAGCAGGACAGCAAAAACATTTATGAAACTGTTTCACAATGGGCAGGCGCTGGAAGTGTGTGAGGCTGAATTGAACAGACCAAGTGGCGGAACCACAGTCACCGTGTGCAATCTGTTCCATCAGTTACCAGTGAGGAGAAAGTGCATGGATCCTGTGCTGGAAATTGAGAGAGTGAGACAGAAGGTAGAGGCTGTTTCACTAATGCATCCTTCTGTTTCTCTTTCTTTAAGAAACGATGTTTCTTGTTCTATGGTGCTTCAGCTCCCTAAGACAAGAGACGTATACTCTCGGTTTTGTCAAATTTATGGACTGGGCAGATCCCAGAAGCTGCGAGAAATAAACCACAAGTCTGGGGGATTTGAGATAAGTGGTTTTATCAGTACTGAGGGACATTACAATAAGAATATGCAGTTCTTGTATGTGAATAGGAGGCTTGTTTTAAAGACAAGACTACATAAACTAATTGATTTTTTATTAAGAAAAGAAAGCGTGATTTGCAAGGCAAGGAGTGTCCCTGCAAGCCGACAGGCTAATTCAAGTCCCGGTCGCCATCGCTGTGGGCCAGAGCTGTATGGGATCTTTATTCTCAATGTAACCTGTGCATACAGTGACTATGATGTGTGCCTGGAACCTGCAAAGACTCTGATTGAGTTCCAGAACTGGGATGTTCTTCTAACTTGCATAGAGGAAGGAGTGAAAATATTCTTGAAACGAGAGCATTTATTTATTGAACCCAGTAGTGAGGACATCAGAGAATTTAATGAACATAATGACTTTTGTTTGCATAATGCTCCAGTTCTGAAGCCTTCAATTCTTGATGAGAAGAGCATCCAAGAAAGTTTTAAGAAAGCATGTAATGAAATTGTGGATTCTTATGAAATACGTAGCTTGCAATCAAAAGATGTCAAGAGAAAATCCATCACTAGGAAAAAAAGTTCAGGTCTTATAGAATCAAGTAAAAATGTACAGGAAACTAAAAATGCTCCAGTTCAGAACACTGCTGAATCATCTGATCCATGTAGAAACAATAAAGCAGAGATTCCATTGCCAAGCAAAGATGACACAGGTTCTGATTTAATTAAGTCAAATACCTCAGAACAGGAGCCAAAACACACTAGCAGTTCCCAAAAAGTATCTGATATTTGTCTGAAACCTTCAGAACATCTTTGTTCCTCTTTCAGTGGAGGGGCCAGATCAGAAATAAGAGAAATAGATGGTTGTGGTGACCTAGGGGATTGTGCAGAGAATAATATAAAAGATGTGGGCAGCCGGCAAGGTCAGGTAATGCAGGAAAGCAGTAAGGTTCTTGTCTTAAATAAGGATGTTATTCAATCACTGCTTGAGAGAGAAGACCCCCCTGAAACAGCAGTGGGACCTGAAACTGTCTCTGGAAGTTCATTAATGAGACTGTGTAATGCAAGAAGAAACGGGGGAACAGCTGAAGTGATAGGTGATGCCAGAAGAGGCGCTGTTAGTTCAATACCCTTAAAGCTCTGCCTTACAGACCTCATAAAAAGTGTTATGCAGAATGAGTCCCCACAGGACTGTGAACAAACAGAAACAAATCTTGCTGTAAACACACGGTGTAGGCCTGGCCCTGTCAGTGCCAAGGATATTTCTGACCACAAAGCGAATGTTGTGATTCAGTCTTCAAATGCTAAGGGTATTTCCAGTAATAGTAATAAAGAATACACAGCTTCTTTTAGCAGAGAAGTATGCAAGACTGCTGGTCATGAGAACAAACCTTTGTCACACGGGGTGAGGGAGGAGGTAGCTATGGCTACTGCTACCAATAAACGACCTTATGAAACATCAAACAGTACGGAATTGCCGCTGGCAACTTCTTCAGGTATTCCTCGCAAGAAAATTGTTATCAAAAACGCTAGAAGACAGATAGCTGTGCCAAGATCACAGCCCTCTAAGAAGCTGAGCTTGTCCACACAGCTGGGATCATTAGAAAAGTTCAGGAGGTGTTATGGGAGAGTTAAGTCTACGCTACCAACACCCACGTCAGAGCGAAATGAATGTGGTCTCCCAGTTCTTAATTCAGAAACTAACTGTGACTTTTCAAAGAATGGGAATGGCAATCATGATAACTTCAGCAGCTGTGAAACTCCACCTGCAGAAGATACAGATTCTAATATTAACCAAGGTTTTGGTTCCTTGGAAAAGACTTTATTTTGCAGTGGAGAAATGTCACAGGACAAACGAGCCCTTTGTCAGAGTCCTTTGACATTGTCTGATTACTCTCTGGTTAGTAACAAAACTACAAGTTGTCAAAGATCTCCAGGATCATTATCATCCAAACTGTC